TAAAGATATAAACAGATAGCTCTGAAACAAAGTTCATCATGGTCAGCATGTGGGGACTGTCTTTCAATTTTTCTTTAATATTTAACTTTTTATTATGAGCTCAGGGGTCTAGACTCTTTATATCGTACTTGTACCTTGTGCTTTAATATTGTTACAGTATCTTAAATGAATTCAGGAAGCCATCAAAAGACCTGAGATATTTTATCCACTTTGGACCAACATTACAACAGACATGCTGATATACCCTGATTTATTTTTTTATGTCCATTGTGAGACTTGAGGATATCTGAAATGTTTTAAACAAAAATATCCAACATTTAGTGTGTCTTCTTTGGATGGAAATAAAACAATTTCATTTACTTTATGTTCAACATACTAATCTTTCAAAGTAGAAGCATTCAGTGGCCGACTTCTTAAAATCCCTCAGTTTCCCTTATGTTAGTTTGGTTGACAGCACCAAATCCGAGGAAGTTTTAGGTATGTGAGGCATCTGTGCAGGTTATATATTTTTTCAAAGTCTCTTGACATGTTGTTAAGTTGTCATTACAACATAAATACCTCTTTTCCTCATGGTAATTATGCTGTCATGTCTCATGGTAATCCTGCAAGCCCGCCATTGTTTTCTCTCACTATATATTAATGATTAAAGTTGAGGGGTGTAGAAGAAATTAAAGTCCAACTGATATTGGATTCTGAAGGCTGGCACTATTATTGGGGGTTTTAAAAAAATTATATTCAATATATATATATATATATCAGCTAGAATACAAAAAAACTGAACATGGTCATACAAAGGATATGTGATATATAAAAACAGTAATACAAACATATGACTGTAAATTTACAGTTTTAACATTTCAGGGTTTTTTATATATATAATGATAAAATATAATAAATAAAATAAAATACGATAACCCATTTTACAAAACATTCAGCAGTCTGATGACAGTGGAGAAGAAACTTTTGCAGAATCTGCTGGACCTGCATTGAATGTTGCGAAGCCTCTTCCTAGAGAGCAGCAGGGAGAACAGTCATTGTAGGGAGAACAGTCCACGGTAGGTGTGTATGGGGTCATTGATGATGCAATGGACTTGGGACACGGCGCACAAATTATTATTAAATCAAATCAAAAAGTTAGGATATGTCATCCAAAGTTCATGTTTATTGCCAAAGTCTGTTTGGAAGCAGATGTTTATGAGGGCAAATATGCAAAGTGTAGCCTTTCATGAGAAGAAGAGGCGTAGAAAGGTAATAAGACAAACATGGAACAAAGTAAAACCGAAAACTCAAAAAAAAACACATAAAAGAACCAGAACTATGACAGATCTGGGAAGTANGTTATCAATTTTATAAATGATTGTGAGTCAATAGGAAAACGGAAATAAATGTCTAACATTACCTACTCTAGCTGGTTTTCCTTAGACAGAAAACTCTTTACCAATATGACCGTTTGAGGTGATTGAATTTTCTTTGTAAAAGGTAATGAGATGAGGTGTTGTGTATTAGTGCTATAAAATGTTATCACAAAAGTGTAAGTCCTATGTGGCATCTATGGATTGGATTCAATCCCCAGACTCCCAGGCAAAAATCATGCATACCTAGCCAAGTAACCAGGGTGCATCATGATTTAAAGGCATAATGACAGGACCCCACCGGACCATGTATCCTCATCTACACCCTATGTGTGGTATTATTATATTTTGTTTGAAACTATATAGTTACATGTTAACTGTTAACAGTTAACATGCTTTAGACTTTGGGTCAGATGGATCTTGAGAGGGTGTAGCTTTAGGATTAATAAAAAACCTACATTTAAGTTCACACTCAACTGCACCCTCCACTAGAGACGAGGTAATATTAATAATCTGTATTGACTGCTCAATATCAGATATTTTTGTTAAACTTAATTGGAAAAAGATTCTGTTGAAAATTAAAAATGTCTTTTGTTTTTTGCATTACACAGGGATCACTCCCTCACAATTAAAGAACCAGGTTCAAACACTTTCTTCCTTCCAATTGATGCAGCTGTCTGACCATATGTGTTTTTGTATTGTGTGTCATGAGTGGGTTGTCCTTAAAGAAATTGAATTGTACTCAGTACAATGTCAAATAAAAGCACTCTGATTTGGATTCACTGTGAGGTTTCTTTGTTTTCCTCTTACAATCGGCAGTTCTTGTAAAAGTAGCAAATGAATATTAAAAATATTATAATATAAAAATATTCTACACATGAAAGCAGCCATAATGTAGTTTGATAAAAACCTTGGTACAGTTGTTTCACCTTCTCCAACTCATCTTTCATCTCTCTCGTGTTAGCTGTTGAAGTAATAAAAAGGAAACAGTAAATTCTGCTGTTATTTCATTGACACAAGCATTCAAATAAACCATTCTAAACAGCTGCTACTAGATATACCTTCATGATCTCTCTGTAGGTACTTTGTCTCCACCTTCAGTCCAGCCACCGAGGCGATCAACTCTCTCAGCACAGTATTGATGTCCTGTGGAATTGTTTGTTGAGGGTTAGGAACAATTTCAGCATCTTCTACCTGTGATCCATTTTTCCTTGAATGGGAAATTATTTCTTTGTGGGTCAAAGCCTGGAGCTGAGATATAGACAGAGAGCAGATTAGCAGCAG